GGGGGGGGGGGGAGAGAGGGGCATCCCCGCACGGACTCACGAACGGACTCACGAACCGCACGCCGTGGCACTCCCTGAGTGGGCGGCGCCGCATGACAATACGTATCGTATCCAGCGACAAGAGGATGAGATGAAGGAAGGCTACACAGACAGTCGTCACTTCTACACAGCGGCCCGGGCCCCCACCCACCACTCCCCACATCCATCTGTCGGTCTGTGTGTCTGGCTGGCTGGCTGGCTGGCTGTCGGTCAGTGTCCTGAATGATAGATACAAATGCTCTCTTGACCTCCTTTTTCAGAGCGGCAGAGAGAAGGCCGGGGGAAAATATGGCAAGCAAGTAGGGTAGGTAGGACTGGGGGGAGGATCGGGTCGGCTGATGGGTGAATCGAATCGACACAGATTAGATAGACAGATAGATAGATTGAACACACACAGAGCACACTCATCGACTACGGACCTCTCTCGACACACCCACCCTCACACCCGACTGACTACACATATTGATAGCTATCAATACGAACGATATACACCGCTCCCTCCCTCCCTCCCTCCTCTGCGCGCATCTCATCTCAGACCCACCTCTCTCTCTCTGCGTGCGTACGTGTGCAATATGCCACCATACCAGCAATAATCAGTTCTCCGTCTCCCCACCTCGTTCGCGCCAAGAAGACCAAGCTAATTACGTCAGAGAGAGTCGATGATCTGCCTGTCCGCCGTCTAGCTATCCCTCCTTTGCCCGGCACCAGCCCCCCCAACCGTCCATCCATCCATCCATCCATCATCCATCGGCCGACAACACTTCCCACACACTCCACAGCCCCCCGACACACGCACTCTTCCATCCACAAAAGGGTGGTTCGATTGTCCGCCGTGTGTATGGGTGTCTGTCGGTGTGGGTGTCACGCGGCCCTCTACGCGCCCGCCTCCACGACGCTGGGGCCGCCCTCGCCAGCCCCATAACTGCCATCCTGAAGAGAGAGAGGAGAGGAGAGGAGAGGAGGGGTATCTATCAGGTCGCTTTCTTTGCCCCTCTCGCTCAAACAACTCAGTCAGTCGCCCACCCACCATGGTTTTGCTGGCGGGCGGCTGCTGCTCTGCCTCGTCGTCGTCGTCGACCGGCTTGGCCTCGGTCTGGTGCATGATAAACAGATTCTGCTCGTCAACACACACACACACACACATATAGAGACAGGGAGAATATGAGTGTCGTGTGTGGTGTCGTGACCTGGATGGGGGTGAGCTACTAACCTTTGGGTTTGCCTGTGCGCGGCTCTTGAAGTCATCGACGGTGCGCTGGAGGCCCTCGTCCAGGTGCACACGCGGCTCCCAACCCAGGATCTTGCGCGCCTGCATCCCAGGCGTCAACCAACTCATGAAGCCACACAACCACACACATGTGCCTTGGCCACTCACCTTGGTGATCTCTGGCTGGCGGCGCTTCGGGTCGTCCTTGGGCATCCTGAGGACGCCGACACACACACAAATTCACACATCAGACAGATGCACGACGGCGGTCGGATGGATGGACGGACGGGCGGTGGCTTACTGTCTGTATTCGATTTTGAGTTTTGGGTTGACCTTGGCGCGCACCTTTTCGGCCAGCTCCTTGATGGTGAACTCCACAGGGTTGCCGATGTTGATGGGGCCGATGTAGTCGCCTGCACACACACACACACACACCACCACACCACAGACGAACCGTGTGGTGTCATGGTATGTGTGTGTGGGTCGCGTACAGTTCATGAGCAGCAGGAGTCCCCTGGCAAGGTCCTCGACGTAGCAGAAGCTGCGCGTCTGCAGACCGTCGCCGTAGATCGGCAGAGACTCGCCCTGATGACACACACAACACAACACGGTAGTCAGTGCGTTTTGCGTTTGTGTGGTGCCCTGTGCGGCCGGTGGTGGGCTACCCTACCCTGAGGGCCTGGACGATGAAGTTGGACACCACACGACCGTCCTACACTCACACACACACACACACCACCACAAAGGTCCGCGTGTCATTCATTGAGTGTGTGTTGGTGGGGTACGTGGAAGAACATCCTTGGGCCGTAGGTGTTGAAGATGCGCGCGATGCGGATGTCGACGTGGTGCTGTCTGTGGTAGTCCATGCAGAGCGCCTCGGCGCACCGCTTGCCCTCGTCGTAGCACGACCGCCGACCCACACAGTTGACATTGCCGTTGTACTCCTCCACCTAACACCACAAACACGACACACAACACACAGGCAGACAGGCGGGTAGAAAGGCTTCCATCTCTCTCTCTCTCTCTCTCTCTCGCGCGCGCGCGCGCCGTCTCTCTCTCTGTCGATGTGTGTGTTGCGTTGTGTACCTGTGGGTGGACTTCGGGGTCGCCGTAGACCTCTGACGTGGAGGACAGCAGCAGCCGGGCGCCCGTCCGCTTGGCCAAACCCAACACGTTCAACGTACCCAACACCTGAACACACCAGGACCACACACACATACCCAACACCAGAACAACAGAGAACGAGCCCATCAACGTCTCCCCCTTCCTCCCTCCCTCCCTCCTCAATGTGTTGCGTCTGTGTGGCAGGCGTACGTACGTTTGTTTTGAGGGTCTTGATGGCGTTGTGTTGGTAGTGCACTGGCGAGGCGGGGCAAGCGAGGTGGTATATCTGGTCGACCTCCACCAGGAGGGGCTGCGTGACGTCGTGCCGCATCAGCTCGAACTTGGGGTGCCCGATCCACTTGGCCACGTTCTCCTTGGAGCCGCTGAAGTAACTGTCAGCACATATCACGTCGTTGCCCTGGGTCAACACAACCACACACCACACCCCGACCAGACAAAAACCGAGACAGTCACGCCTTTCCCCAGTTGGTGTGTGTGTTTTCTGCCCGTGTTGGTCTCCCTCGCTGTGCTGTTTTGCTCTCTTTTTCAGGCTTACGTTCTGCATGAGAATGTCGATGAGGTGTGAGCCGATAAAGCCGGCGCCGCCCGTAACGAGCACCCTCTTGGTGGGGATCTGGGGAAACGAGTTGTAGTCGCTGTCAGTCGGGGACAGCGACGTCGCCGTCGACTCCGTCATGGTGGCGGCGCGGCGGACAGGCAAAAACCAGACGGAGCTGGAGGGAGAGGGATGAGGAGGAAGATGAAAAAGGCAAAACCGCTCGCAGCAAAAACAAGACGGTTGAAAGCAGCTCCTGGACTTGGATCTAGTAGTGTGTTGAGCGTTGCACTGCTTCAGGAATCCTATTTCATTCAAAGCTCGCCGTTTCTAAGCTCGCACGCACTTGCAAAGGAGCAGGCCAGGCCAGCTAGGGTGCTCCCTGAAACCGCTGCTTGCAAAGGAGCGGCGGATGCCAGGCAAGGGCAGGGCAAGAATATGGTTGGCATCTTTGTGCTGTGCATCTTGCCGTCCTCAGGTCAGGTCGGCTGATGAGCATGTGTGCGTCGTCTCCCGATGAGCGGGTCTGAGCTGCCACAGGCGCGTCCGTTCATCCGCTCAGCCACGTCATCCCAGCGGCCTAGCGAGAGCGGTGCCGTGCTGTCATTCCTCTGGTCCGTCAAAATGAGCGTCCTCGAGGTCAGCGCAGCTCACCACAGCACACCATGCATCATCCTCTGTGGATGTGTTGTGTGTGGTGTCCTCTCTCTCTCTCTCTCTCTCTCTGTGTGTGTGTGTGTGTGTGTGTCTGTGTGTGTGTGTGTGTGTGTGCAGTCGGTGCCTCACGAGCTGATGATAGTGGTGCAGGTGCTGGTGCTCATCCACGCAGTCGCCTTCGCCTTCTGGTTCTTCCTTTTCCTCCGAGACCTCAAGAAGCAACGAAAGTAGTGACCACACACACACAGCCCTGCCTCCACACAGATATCCACCCGTCCATCGCCTCCTTGTGTGTGTGCGCATCGCATCAGGGTGTCCCCTGGCGGCGAGGAGAAGAAGGTGCGGCAGGGCGTCGCTGCCGGCGTGGAGCCGGCCGCCCACGCATCCTCTGCTGCATTTGCGAAGCCGCCGGGCACTGAGAAGCGGGCCGTATAGAGAGATGAGATGTCCACATCGCATCCATCTCATTCACGGCGAGAAGGCTTCACATGGCGTGTGTCTAGCGGACGGAGTCGGCTCCCCTGACACTTAGTGTTGCTCCATGAGAGGAGCAGATTGACCGTGCGGCCTGTGCGTGCGATCCAGACCTCTGTCGGGGTGACACTAGGTGTCGAGTGCAGCAGATAGGGAGAGAGAGCCGTATGTCTGTTTCTCTTAATGTTAATGTGTCTATCTACATTCACTGACCGGCCCGTGCGTGTGTGTTGTGTGTGTACAGATCAGTTGTAGGCAGGTCTGTCGCTGCGTAGGCCGTCTGTGTAGCTAGCTGGGTGTGTAGTTTAAGTGCGCAGGCAGGGGAGGGATGGATGGATGGATGACATACCTGCCGCCTTTTCTACACACCTGTGTGTGCAAGACAAGACCCCTTTGCCGCCGTGTTTCCGTGCGTGAATGAATGAGATTTGCAGTTAGTGTGCGTAAGTCAGGTGAAGAATCCTGCCGACTCCCCCCACATAGCCCCCAGTGCACAAGTTGAACACACACGACACATGCACACCAACAAGTGAGAAAAATTCGATGCACTGAACACAGACGCACAAGGCGACATAAACACAGACACACATACTAGAGAGGCAGTGAGTCGATGTGGCATCTGGCGCATGTGAGTCGAGTGCTGCACAGAGCAGTCAGTCATTCCCAACCCCCCACCCGACGAACACACAGGCCGGTAGCCTTTGTAGATAAAGGACAGAGTGTGTGTGAATGGATGGATGGATGGACGTATCAACCGGACGACGGCATGGAATGGAAACACGCTATGTACACGATATCAATGTACGTCCATGTGTCTTGGCTCCCTCTTCCCACCCTCACCCCACCAAAAAACTGACACACGACCCCCCCACCCTCACCACGCCCACCCATCGGAGTCGACTGCTGCTGAGTGAGCCGAAAAATACGGACGGCATCATACTCCTGAATTCACGCCTGTCGCGTGCTGTCCCCCTCACTCCCTCTCCCGTCAGCAATCATATTATGTGGACTGGCCAGTGACAGTGTCGTCGGCATCCTCTCCATCAGGGTACCTCATGCAGATCACTTTGGTGTTGGCGACGGAGAGTGTCTTGGTGGCCTTCATCGAGTGCAGCACGCACTTGTCCGTGTCGACGTGGTGCTCGAAACTCCTGCGAAAGAAAAAGGCGCAGAGAGCGTGACTAACGACCAAGCGACGAGGGAGGGAGGGAGGGAGAGAGAGAGAGGGACGGAGGGAGAGGGAGAGGGGAGGGGAGGGGCACACTGACTGACCAGCAGATGAATGGCTCTTGGAATCTGTTGAGGCACTCGAAGGCGCATTTCTCCATGTCGGTGTCGTAGAGTATCTTGTACGATGACGCGGGGAAGACAGTATATTCCTCGTTGCTGCAGCTGCCCTCGCCGCTCGCTCCCACATTCTCGAACGCAGCGCTCGGCGGATGCACAACCGCTGGACGAAAGACACACACCACACCAGCCACGCACAGACGCGTGCGCTTCCGCAGTGCTTGCTAAATGAATCCTTCCTGCCTGCCTGTCTGTCTGCCTACGGACGTCTTGGAAGGATGCCTCCATCCGCGGTAATGGGCTTCTTGTCACCGTCGCCATCACCACCATGATCGCCCGGCGCCGCCACGGCGACGTGGCAGTCGAGCCCGTCCCAGTCGCACTCCTCCGTGTCGCATTGCTCGTCGCAGCTGTGGTCACCCGCAAAGTGCTTGAGGCACTCACTGCTGCACATAGGCCCTTTGGTCCTGCCCCCGTCTTGCAGAGACCGCAGAGCTGGCGGCCAACCTGCAGACAGACAGACGAGACGACAAAGCTGCAGACACTGTGTGTGCCATGGTGGGAGGCCACACCACGTGATGGTCGTGTGCTGCCGGCCTCGAGCTCGAGTGGCGCCTGACAGACAAGGAGAAGCCGGCCGTTACAGGGTTGCTTGGCCTGCCTTCAGTTTTTTTTCCTTCCGGCTTACCCAGGAGGCGAGTGCGAGAATGAGGACTCCAAAGGGCGATACCGCAGCCCCCAATCGCGGCATGTCAGGTCTGAGCGTTCAGTAGTTTACAATCGGACCACGCAATGGGCGGCCTAACGAGCAGTGGGGACGAAGAGTCTTCCTCTGACTCAGAGGGGGCCAAGAGAGGGAGGCGGCCAGCCAAGCGCAGGGACAAGGCTGCCAAGACCGGTGCTGGTGGTGGTGGTGGGCTGGTGAGCCGGAGGGCTGCCCGCCGGCAGCAGCGGCTTCAGGGAGCACCCTACTAACAGGCGGCCTGACGGCCAAGTCCTCTGTCGGTCTGTCCCAACATAGAAAACACGGCCCGCAATAAACGGGGGTCGGCTCTTCCGCTTCGTTTTGAGGGCAGGGTCCATAGCTCCTCAGATTGGAAGGACAGCCTGCAAATCTGGCAGGTGCCGTGCTGTCGCAGTCCACCAAGAACACTTACCAATCTGGAGCCGCTTTTGTCGCAAAGCTCGCAGAAGCGTTTAGCGTTTGATGGTGCCTGGCCACATCCTCGATCACCATGTATAGATCCACTGACTGTTAATTGTGTTGTCGATTGAGCTGAAAGGCAGGCAAGGAGGAGGCACAGACAGCCGTGCCGTGCGTTCCTGCAGGCCATTCTGATGAGGTGAGAGGTACACAGACAGCGCCACACGCACGTCTGTAGCATATGGATGACCAGTTGGTGTTCATTTTGTCATGTGCTTCGTTTGTTTCAGTTGGCTGGCAGCCCGGGTCGTTGGCCGGCGGACTGGACTCTGATGTGAGGGAGGATGACGCCTCGGCCGAGGGTGAAAGAGGGTCTGTGTGGCCGCCAAGCAATCGTACTCCCGCTGGACAGCATTTGATGCGTTCAGCGATGCGGCCATGAGATCCGGTGAGCGAGTGAGTGAGCGACAACACCAAGCGATCGACATGTGCTCTCCCATTCACCTCATCTGTGTGTTTGTTGTGTGCTTGCTGCACGCATGTGTGTGTCGGTCAGATTGGTTCCGCTCTGGCTGCTGACGTTGGCCACGTCGCGCGGCGAGCTGGACAGACATCGCTAAGATGGCTCGTTCACTGCCGGATTGGCTGATTGATTGATGGATGGATGGATGGCACCAAGCGACCGACAGCTTTTCACACGCCTGCCTGTCTGTGTGTTATGAGGCGGCGGCGAGTGGACGGCGGGGCGAGGTGCTGCTACTGCAGCGGGGACTAGTCGCGACTCAGAGGAGGAAAAGAGAGGGAGGCGGCCAGCCAAGCGCAGGGACAGGGCTGGCAAGGCCGGTGCTGCTGGTGCTGGTGGTGGTGGTGGTGGGCTGCTGAGCGGCGCCACGACGGACAAGAAGGAGCGGCGCCGGAAGAGAAAACAGAGGGGCGAGGGCGACGAGGGGGAGGGGCGCAAGGGCGACATGATGGCGTTGCAGAAGACCAGTTTGTACGGCCACAACCTGGGCACCGAGGGGCTGGACGAGGGGGAGGTGCAGCGTCAGATGAAGAGAATGAGACAGGAGCAACAAGACGTTGACG